ACCAGGCTTAGGATATATACCTGTATTATATGACCAGTCTGTCTGAGGCTGTCCCAACTGGAAGCCCAACCCAGGGTAGCATCTTTTTTTTATTGTTATTATTACTTTTCTTTGGAGTATAGTTGCTTTACAATGTGTCGGTTTCTGTTGTACTGCACAGTGACTCGGCTGTATGTTTACATATATCCCCTCTTTTTTGGATTTCCTCCCCATTTAGGTAACCACAGAGCATTGAATAGAGTTCCCTGGCTGTATTAGTAGGTCCTCATCAGTTAGCTGTTTTATACCTAATAACTGTCAGCAGTGTATACATGTTAATCCAAAGCTTCCAATTCATCCCGTCTCACCCCTTTCCCCTTTGATATCCATCCATTTGTTCTCTATGTCTGTGTGTATTTCTGCTTTGCAAGTAAGATTATCTACACTATTTTTCTAGATTCCAGGTTTGAAGAAAAAAAAAAAATTCCTGAGAACGGACTGCTGTCTGTGTTTGTGGCTCAGAACAGGGTGTGTTTTTTCCTCCGGGCCAAGAACTTTTTCCATTTTCACCGTTCACTTCTCTTCGTTGTCCCTCCCTCTCCTCTGGGTCCCCTCCACGGTGGACGGGTCACCGCAGTGGGCCAGGAGCACAGCGGTCGATCGCACCTCTCAGCGGCACCTCTCACCTCAGGCAGAGGGTGCTAATTAAGCTCCCGGTTGGCAGTGCAGATAGCACCGCCCAGATCCCAGCGCCCGGCCACTGCTCATCTGCCCCACATGGCTGTGCTGGTGTAGGAGAACACAGTGGCAGTATAAATACAGATTCCTGGCTGTCTCAGAGCCAGGGACAGCAAGATTCACTCACAGTGGGTGTCAAGCCTGCAGATCCCTTGGCTCCCTCTCCTCCTGCAGAAAGATGGCCCTTCCTCTAGTTTACCTGTTAACCAAGATGCAATGCACATATCATACAGTCCACCAATCTCAGTGTGCAGTGCAGTGGCTTTTAATGTTCTCAGAGTCACCGCAATCAATTTTATTGAATTAAAAACTTTTTTAATTAAAAAGTGTTTGGCCACACCACATGGCTTCAGGACCTTAGTTCCCCAAGCAGAGATCAAACCCCAGGCCCACGACAGTGAAAGCAGCAATTCCTAACCACTGGACCATCAGGGCATTCCCCCACTCTCATTTTTTTTTTTCCTGCGGTGAAGTTTAGAACGCCCAGAAGAAACCTCACACCCATGAGCTGTCACCCTCCAATCTCCCCCAGTCCTGTTGGTGTGCTTAGGCGCTTCAGTCATGTCCGACTCTTTTTAATCCTATGGACTTTAACCCACCAGGCTCCTCTGTCTGTGGGATTTTCCAGGCAAGAATACTGGAGTGGGTTGCCATGCCCTCCTCCAGGGGATCTTCCCAACTCAGGGGTCGAACCTAGGTCTCCCTCATTGCAGGTGGATTCTTTACCATCTGAGCCACCAGGGAAGCCCCCAGTCCTAGGCACCTGTTAATCTGCCTTCTGCCTTTGTGGATGGACTTATCCCGCATGTTTCCTAGAGGCGGGATCCTGCACTGAGAGATCTTGTGTGCCTGACCTCTTTCACTCAGCAGGGTTTTTCCCAGGTCCATCCACATCAGAGCATGTTTCAACCTCTCATCCCTTCTTTGGCTGAGTACCTCGTATTCCACTGTGTGGACGGACGACATTATCCTTGGATTCTGTGTTTGCAAATTAACCTGCTGGCTAAAATGTATCTGTAACCCTCGAATCAGTCCTTGTGGGGTGTTCACAGTCACGTGCAGAGATAGTTGAGGTAAAAAATGTGAGTCACTTAGGAGTTCACTGGTGGTCCAGTGACTAAGGCTCCAGCCTAACCATTTTGAAGAATACAGTCCAGCGGCATTAAGTACATTCACAGTGTCAGGCAGCCATCACCACCATCCATCTCCAAAATGCTCTTCATTTTCCCCAGTTGAAACTCTGTCCATGTTAAGCAAAATTCCTCATTCCCCTCCCCCATCCCGGGAACCCACCCACCCCATCCTGCATTCTGTCTCTGGGAGTCTGACTCCTCTTGGGGCCTCTGAGAAGAGGAATCTGACCGTCCTTGTCCTTTTGTGTCTGACTTACTTCACTGAGCATCATCATGTCCTCACATTTTGTCCACATTGCAGCAAGTGTCGGAATTTCATTTCTTTTTCTGGCTGAGTAAAGTCCTGTAAAACAGTGATTTCTTGGTGCCTATTTTGTGAGAGACCTTTCCTCTCTCCTACCAGGGAGACAGTAATGAGAGTAAATGAGTAAATCTTGGCATATGTTGAGGGGGCCAACTCATCATTGTGTTACCTGGAATTTTGTCCCTTCTCCCCCTTTGAGAGTCTGGGTACCTGGGATCCCTAAAGCAAGACTGTAAGATGCAAGAACCTCAGTGTCTTCCCACCAGCCCAAGGAGGCTCTGATTCCACTTACTGTAGATTTAGTGTCATCCATCATTTTCTAAAAATTCTCTGGAAGTGGTGATTCTTCAAGGGTGTTCCTGGTTACCTTTTCTTCTGTGGGCTGTTCAATTACAGCAGAATCCATCCGACTTCAAGCAGGACCTTGGGTCCCAGAAACAGCCTACCAGCCACACCAGGACACTGGGCGAAGGCTTCATCTCTGCGTTTGTCCCGTCTGTATGTCCAGATAGATCATAATTGCTGGGGTGGAGTTCACCGGGTGTAGAAATGCCAGGAAGCGCTTGCCAGGGACCATGGAGGACTCGGTTTACGATTTTCACCTTTGCCAAACAGGTGTTGGTATATGAGCGACAGCTTGGTCACCTGGGTCTACCGCAATAACAGGCACCGTTAGCCATTTACGATCTCCACGTCATGATGTCTGAGATCACTGAGCACACAGCACCACCCAGTCTCCATGCTGCTCAGAACCAGAATCCCAACTACTTTCCTCGAGTGACGTAGAGAAACCAGGAGACGGGGAGGGGGTGCGTTGGGGACCCAGGAGCCAGATCTGGAGTGCCACTGGTCAGATTTCTTTTCAAGGCTGCTGTTTGTCTTGGAGCAAAGCTTTTAAATGTGGCTTTTACCCTAAGAATAGATAAATTAGCCAAGCAGCCCATCCCGAGTAGGCTTGACTTACATGGTGGATTTGTCAAAAAAGAGGAGGCAAAAAATCAGCCTAATTAATGACAGCCTGGTTTTCTAAGAGCTGCATCTTTCCATCGGTGGGGAAGGGATCTGTGGGAACAGGGCCTCCAAATGTTCAGCACTTTTTCTTTTTTCCTGTACATATTTTTATCTTTGGCTGTGCTGGGTCTTTGTTGCTGCTTAGGCTTTTGGCTAGTTGCAGCAGGCGGGGGCGGGGGCGGGGTGCTCCAGCTTCTCACTGTGGTGCCTTCTCTTGTCTGGGAGCACAGGCTCTAGGCACGCAGGCTTCAGGAGCTACAGCACGTGGGCTCAGTAGTTGTGGCTTGCAGGCCCTAGAGCACTGGCTCAGTACTTGTTTTGCACAGGGTTAGTTGCCCCATGGCATGTGGGATCTTTCCGGACCAGGAATAGAACCCCTGTCCCCTGCATTGGCAGGTGGATTCTTAACCACTGGACCACCAGAGAAGTCCTTCAATACATATTTTTAAATTAAAGAAGGCAAAAATTACATTCACACTTTTTAAACATTAATTCTAGCATCAACATTTTTTAAATAATTTGAAATTATTTTAATTTCAGGTTTCTCTTGATTTCTTACTTGTGTTCAACATCCTTTCCACTCTATATGGAGTCTGTTGCTAGATTTCTGGGTTTGTTTTTTTTTTTTAGATTTCTGGTTTTGTTGTTGTTTGTTTTTGTTCTTTATTTTTGTGTGTGTATTGATTGTGTTTGGGGGTGTGTGTGTCCAAAATCCAGTATAATCATGAACTTCAAGTATAGTTGTAATAGATCAGTACTCGCCCATAGATTGTGACCTTAAAGTAACATACAAGGCATTGCTAGTAGCAAGTGTGAAAAAATTGTAGATTTGAGTCAGGTCGTCTTGTGAGTATATCTTGGACTGTCATGTATCAAATATAAGTGGCACTGGACATTGGACTTCTTAATTGTCAGTGTGCTTATTTATCAAGGTGAAGATAAGTGTGCCTACTTTGACACTTACGGAGAGGATTGAATGAATTCACATATGAGTAGAACACAATCAAGTTTATGATCTGTGGCAGGGTTGGGGGGGATAAGTTGCTATCAACAGTAACATCCCAACTCTGAAATTAATGAGCTAATGCGCACAGACAGCCCTGCTGGGCCCCTGTCGTGTGTTCGGTTGGTTTCCGATCACCTTCTACTATAGGATCAGAGCTTCAGATTCTGTTAGTGATTACGAACATCAGAGACCCTGTGGTCTCCACATCTCAGAATCACCCTGACAGCTGGTCTCAGATTAATTACAATCGCGTGTGTGATGTCGGTACAAGCTCCCTAGTCCGTGATCCTAAGATTCTCTGTGGCGGATATAAGCTGGTCCTTGCTACCTGCCCCCTCTCCCCACCAAGACAGAAAAGGGCCTGGAGCGGGGGAGTTGCCGTGTTGGTGGTGTTTTACCCAAGGAGAAAATCCTGTGCGATTTCCACACTGAACGGTCACAGTGGGGACCCACTTCCTGCCCTCCAGACCCGCGGCTTCAGCCAATACAGTAAGAGAACCAGCTTTCCATTTCTAGAAGCATCCCCCCCCTCCTTCGGGGTATAAAAACAGCACAGAGCAGCCGGGTCTCAGCGCCCAGAGCGTGACCATGGGGAACGGGCATTCCAAGAGCGGCGACAGGGAGGGCGCGCCCCGCAGCCGCCCTGAGCTCTCCTTCTACGGCTCTCTCCCCAGGAAGTGGAGCGAGAGCATCTTCCTGGACAATGAGCTGCTGACCTCCAAGATCCTGTCGGCGCTGCGGCCCCAGTCGGAGCAGGGCCTCCCAGCGGGCCACCTGCGCTACCCCGCCCACTTCCTCAGCACCCACTCTGTCTTTGCCTCCGTCGCAGCATCCCTGAAGGAGCACCCGAGGGCCACCCTCCTGTCCGATGGCAGCCCGCGCCCGACCAGGAATGTCGGCATGACGGTCTCGCAGAAGGGGGGTCCACAGCCAGCACCCAGCCCAGCGGGAACCGGGACAAGACTTGGGTGAGTGGGGTCCCCCCTCTGCCACCAGGGACTGGCGAAGGGAGGGAGGCGGGGGGGCTTCCTCCGGGACCCTTCGGACAGCCTCTCCAGAAGGAGACCCTCGGCAGGACCACCCTACCAAAAGGCAAGATTCCCATTAACACCTACCTTGGAGATTCACTCCTCCTTCTTTTTCAAAAACGGTGCGTTCTGCACTGTTATATTTTAAGTGGGTAACCAACCAAGACCTACGGTATAGCACAGGGGACTCTGCTCAGTGTTATGTGGCAGCCTGGATGGGAGGGGGGTTTGGGGAGAATGGATACATGTGTGTGTATGACTGAGTCCCTTCACTGTACACCTGAAACTATCACACTATTAATCGACCATACCCCGATACAAAATAAAGTTCAAAAGGGAAGGGAAAAAAGCTGTGTTCTGGGCTCCCTAGCCACTTGGAGCCAGTTTGCTTCCTGCTCTTGAAGGACCCTTGGACAGGGCTCCTTTCTGTCCTGCAGACCAGGCAGGAAGTCTGCTGAGGTCGCTGCGGAGTCTGTATCCTATTATTTATGCTTTAGACTGATTTTCGTAGGGCTTCGAGATGGTTCTCGAAGTGTTGCATTCAGCAGTGTTCAAGTAGAAAAACCTCATGTTAAAAAAAAAATGTTGCTGCATGAGTCAGTGGGGCAAGAAGCTGATCTTCTTTTCCCCTAGAAAAGATTCTCCCTCCAGTCTGGACTAGGAATGAAGCTGTGTCCACCCTGCTCTGGCTGGAAAGAATTCTGGGGATTCCAGAGGGCGCCAGTGGCTAGGAAAGGAAGCATTTAATTAATATACCCTTAGAATGTACTTGGGTGGCTTCCCTGATGCTCAGATGGTAGAGAATCTGCCTGCAGTGCAGGAGACTGGGGTTTGATCCCTGGGTCAGGAAGATCCCCTGGAGAAGGGAATGGCAGCCCACTCCAGTATTCTTGCCTGGAGAATCCAGTGGACAGAGGAGCCTGGCGGCTACAGTCTGAGGGGTCGCAAAGAATCAGACACGGCTGAGTGACTAACACTTTCACTCACTTTTTCATAGAATGTACTTGAACATCAAATTAGTTTTGGTGGCAGATAACAGAGAACAAACTAATGGTTGCCAGTGGGGAGAGAGAAGCGGGGAGAGGCAAGATAGGGGCAAGAAATTAAGAGGCACAAACTACTATGAACAAAATAGATAAGCTACGGAGATGTATTGTACAGCACACGAGATATAGCCAATATTTTATAATAATGATAAATGGAATATAACCTTTAAAAGTTGAGTCAAAAAAATTGTGGATCACTATGTTATACTCCCATAACTTACATGATATTGTACATCAACCATACCCTCCCCCTCCAAAAAAAAAAAAAAAAAGTTAGTTTGATGGAAGAACTCGTCATGTCACATTCACAGGTAGTGTCCTAATTTTCAAAAATGATCTGTGACAAGGACTTCCCTGGTGGTCCAGTGGTTACGACTGGGTGCTTCCATGGCAGGGGGTACAGGTTCAGTCCCTGGTCGGGGAACTAAGATCCCACAAACCATGCAGCACAGCCAGAAAAAGGAAGAAAAAAAAAAAAGATTTGTGACAGAGTTAAGGTTTATATTGACATCCAGAAAGTTCTCAAATAGTATGTAATCAAATCAAATAGCAGCCTGATTTGCTCTTATAGACTGTGTGTTTGTATGAGTGTGTGTTTGTGTGTGTGCTTCAACTTTTTTAAAGTTGGTTTTATGTCTGTTTAGACCACTAACAGGAGAAATGGATGAAACTGACACATTGTTTCCGAAGCTCAAGCAGGTGGCCGAGGACTCTCTTTTTCTTACATTTTCCAGCACTGAGCCCATCTTCACAGACGGTACGGTCACCCTGATCCTTTCCCGGGTGTCACTGGGAGGCATCGAGACCCACATGCAGGCATCCAGGGGATGAGGGCAGGGGGTAGCCCCTGAGCCAGCCAGGCCCCAGCCCCCGAGCAGCAGCCTCCTGTCCTTCCCTCAGACCCCTACACTGCCTCGCTGAAGGGTGAGATCGAAGCAGACGCCCGTGAGTTCGAGGCTGAGTCCTGGAGCCGCTCTGTGGACCCCGAGTATGTGAAGAAACAGAAGAGGGAGGTGGTGAAAAGGCAGGATGTGCTCTACGGTAAGGAGGCCTGCACCCCTTCTCTTTCTTCTTTTCTAGTTTGTTTTTAATTGATTCCACTGGGGAGCCGGGGCTCTACTATTGACCCTCCCTGAGACCACGTGGCCCCTCCACTTGCTCCCCCCACCCCCGGGCAGCTGGGCCTGCCGGGCCAGGGATGAGGCGGCCAGGCAAGACTTTGTGAGAATCAGTCCCCAGGGACAGGAATGGCCCAGTGCCCAGTCCTGAGTCATCCCCACCGTGGTGGTGACCCCGAGGGAGAAGACCACCCGAGCCCATCCCAGCCGTCCCCAGTCAGATGACCGCAGACAGGCCCGGACAGAGCCGCAATGGGGGCTCTGAAGGCAGGTCTGTCCATCTGAATGTGACCGTAACACCGGCTCCCAGGTGGGCACCCCTTCCCAGTAATCATCAGAGAAGCTGGCCGTGAGCAGCCACTCTCCTGAGACTGGCTGTCATGGTCACCATGGAAACCATAGCTCCCAGACACTGCCCAAACCTGGGCTGGTGCTCCCCGCGGGTCCCTCCAGGCCTCCCTCCCTGCTGCTCAGTGGTGTCCACTCACCAGTGGACACTCAACTCCTTCCGCGTTTTACACACTCAGCTCCCTGCCAGGGCCAGAGTAAGTGGGGGTGTGGGCAGGGAGGGGAGCCAGGCCAACCAGGGGTCCTGCAGACAGGGCCAGTGGGGGGCCCAGTCCACCACTTCCATCTGGACAGCCCTTTGCCTTGCTGTCTCCACTGCTGGACAAGCACAGAGTCCTTCCAGCCCCGTGGCTGGCAGCCCTGGAATGGGCCAATGCTGTTAGGGGTTTCCTTTTTATTTTATATTGGAGTATAACTGGTTAATGGGCTTTTCTGATGGCTCAGTGGTTAAAGAGTCTGCCTGCCAAGCAGGAGACACGGGTTTGATCCCTGGGTTGGAAAGATCCCCTGGAGAAGAAAATGGCTGGCTACCCACTCCAGTATTCTTGCCTGGGAAATCCCATAGACAGAGAAGCAGGGCTCCAGTCCATGGGGTCACAAAAGAGACACATCTTAGTGACTAAACAACAGCAATAGCCGATGAAGAACATGGTGATAGTTTCAGGTCGACAGCATCAGGAATCAGCTGTACGTATACATGTATCCTGTTGACTTCTGTTCCACCTCTGACAGCTTCAAGACCTTGAGTTAAACAACAGAAAACCTTCATCACAAAATCTAATCTTTCTTTGCTTTTAACGTGAATTAAAAATCCTCCCTTGAGCTTCGCTTTTCCCATCAGTTACAGTCTGGGGCAGGTCTCTGACACAGCACCAGCGTCTGAGTTTCACATCCCAGGGAGGGATTTCCAGCAGAACAGTCTTGTTTCAAACAGCCTGAAAACATCTTCAGTTGACAATAGACAGAAAACCCTCCTGTGAAATTGAGGCCTGGGCACACATCCGGACCTCTCTTTCCTGGTGTCTGTCCACCTCCCTAAGCTGGGCCCTGGGCAGTGCTGGGCCAGGGAGGACGGGAGGCCTGGCCCCTGGGAGGTCAGGCTACCATGATGAGGGCTTCGAGGAAACCTGAGAGGCCAGACTGGCCCGTAGTGAGACAAGGGAGGGCCTAGCCAGGGTGTCCACCTGCACCACTAATTCCTGCATCCCCGTCCCCGCAGAGCTGATGCAGACAGAGGCCCACCACGTGCGGACGCTCAAGATCATGCTCAAGGTCTACTCGCGGGCCCTGCGGGAGGAGCTGCAGTTCAGCCCCAAGGCCGTCAGCCGCCTGTTCCCAGGCGCGGACGACCTGCTGGAGGTGCACGGCCACTTCCTGTGTCGGCTGAAGGAGCGCCGCCTGGAGTCGCTGGAGGAGGGCAGTGCCTGCAACTACGTCATCCAGAAGATCGGGGACCTCCTGGTTCAGCAGGTGGGTGTGGCCAGACCCACCCCCACCCCGCTCTGTCCTGTTTGCTGAGAGCCCAGCCCCCGAGAACAGCGGTCCTGGCCTCTCACAGCTGCGCACGCCGCCACCAGCTCAGAAACACAGAGGCCTGAACAGCCAACGTGCTTGTCGAGACACCGTCCGGTGTATATGCTGTGCTTTTGGTTGGTTGGTTGGTTGGTTGGCCAGTTTTTACTTTTCTTTTGGTCTTGACACCTGCGTGGTGTTTGAACCACTGCCATGGATGGCAAGGCCATTGACCCCAAACTGACTTTTGAGTGGACTTCTGGGTAAAGCCCAAGATTGACAGAGGGGACCCAAGACCCCTCATCTGCCCTCAAAGCACCCAGAGCATGCGAGTCACCTAACTAAGGAGAAGACGACCCTGTCATGAAAAGAAGACCCTTTTCACCTCTGAATTTTTTCTGATATTCTCTCGTTTAAATGTATTCTTCCTGGTCGGATTTCAGGGTGTTTTACAAGTGCCTATGTGACACGCAAAAGTTTTCTCCTTTGCCCTTTTGGTGCCCTGTTAATGAGACACCATGTGCCGAAGCATTTTGTTTGGGGCCAGCGAGCCAAACAAGAGAGTGAAACCCCAAGTCAGGTCAATCTGTGGTTTAGCAGAGTCAGGCGAACGAGGTGAAGTCGTTCCCCGGCAGTTTCCGTGTTTCCCCTAGTAACATGTCCACACCTCTCTTCAGTTTTCAGGTGAAAACGGGGAGAGGATGAAAGAAAAATACAGCGTCTTTTGTAGCAGTCACAACGACGCTGTCAGTCACTACAAGTTGCTGCTGCAGCAAAACAAGAAATTTCAAAACTTGATCAAGGTAAAAAAAAAATTATTTCTTTATACTAAAAACGTTTTTTTGTTTTTGTTTTTCACACAAAACTGTAGGCATTTGGAGAACTTTATAAACGACTTGTTATAATGCAGTGATGTTCCAGGTTCTGCCTCATTTTTAACCACAAAGTCATTCAGAACACGGCCATGAAAGCTCTGGAAAATCCCCGGGTGTAAAGCACAGCAGGGGTGGTTTTTGTTTCCACCACAGTAGAGTGGCCCTTGAGATGCCACTCAGTGGGTGACCACCGTCCCTCAGACTGTTGAGGGGACACGAGTGTCATCACACGGGGCCACCCTGCCCCTCCAGAGCCACCTCCCCTGCCTCAGATGTTCTAGCAGACACAAGGCCTGTAAGCCTTTGCCTCTCTCTGTCCTCCGCCCATCTGCTCCCCACCTGTCCCCATCAGCCCATGGAATGACCCACACCTGTCTTCTGCCTGACAGCATGTGGGTGCTCAGGGCCCGGGAGCCAAGACCCCTGCCTGCCGCATCCTGGGAGGTGCTCCTGGGCCAAGGCCACGGGGCGCAGTCAGCGTGTGCCCTGCAGAGGTACCGGCACACGGTGCCCCAAAACAGCTCCACGCCTGCAGCCTGTGCCCCAAAGTGACACCCAGTAAATAACGGTCTAGAGCGAAGGGCGGAGAGTCATTAAATTTCACTCCATTGTCCCGGTAGCAGACTGATGGGACAGGGAGAGGGTCGTCTAGTGGTCTGAATTCATCTGGTGATGAGCACGGGGCCAGGCTACCTGGCATCCTGAGCCAGAAGCCCCTCGCAGGTGGGGGTTTCCCACGAGACAGAAGGGAACAGAGCCAAGTCTCAGGTGTTTGTCCCCTCCCCTCCCCTCCTCTTATGAACTGGCGCCCAGGACCTCCCCGGCGGTCCAGTGCTTAAGACTCCACGTTTCCAATGCAGGGGGCGCAGGTTTGATCCTCATCAGGGAAATTAAGATCCCACATGCCACCATGGCACAGTCAGAAATCCGATGGTTCCTGACCTTCCTAAAACACAAACCAGAGCAGTGGAGACAGACAAGCAGAGGGAAGCATGGGAAGCTGCCCTCGGCCCCCACTAAGAAGTGGCTTCAGGGGTTTCCCTGGTTGTCCAGTGGTTAGGACTTGCCACCTTCACTGCTGTGGACCTGGATTCAATCCCTGATTGAGGAACTAAGATTCCACAAGCTGCACAATTCAGCCAAAAAAAAAGAAAGGATGGCTTCAGATGATCGCCTCTTTGGGCTGTTAGCCAGAGGCATGCACCAGCAGCCCCAGAGAGCTGCTGCAGGAACCACAGGCCCAGCTGCATCAGAAGGCCTCCATAGCCATCAGCAGTGTTAGGGTCTGCACATGTGCACGTGTGCATGTGGACAGCTCTCCGGCGATCCCCAAAATCCACACCAGCTGGTTTCTTCCTCATGGCTCTTGTAGAGCCCTGCATTTTACAGCAAGTGAGTCAACCTCTGGCTTCTTGGCCTTTCTGTAAACAGCAGGCACTCCTTGCTTGCTTTTTTTAATTTTTTATTTAGTTAGTTATTTTTGGCTGTGCTGGGTCTTCATTGCTGCGTGCTGTCTTTCTCTAGTTGTGGCAAATGGAAGCTACTCTTCATTGCGGTGCATGGGCTTCTCACTGCAGTAGCTTCTTTTTGAGAAGCACAGGCTCTAGGGCGCACGGGCTTTAGTGGTCACAGCACGTGGCCTCAGTTGCTCCACGGCATGTGGCATCTTCCCGGACCAGGGTTCAAACCAGCGTCCCCTGCATTGCGAGGTGGACTCTCAACCACTGGACCACCAGGGAAGCCCAGTCCCTGCTTTCAGCTGCCTGGTGAAGCAACAAAGAAAAGGTCCCCGTGAACTGATAAAGGAAAGGGTGCCCAGCCCCCCGTGTCCCACTGTGAATGATTTGGCAGGAAATAGGTTGCCAACATGGCATGGCTTTGTCGTCTCCGTTTCACAGAGAATCGGCAACTTCTCCATCGTGAGGCGGCTCGCTGTGCATGAGTGTATCCTCCTGGTCACCCAGCGCATCACCAAGTACCCCGTGCTGGTGGAGCGAATTATCCAGAATACAGAAGGTATGCCAGCCCTCCTGCCTTGCCTGTCCATGTTGGGTGGGGAGGAGGGTCTCAGTCTCCCTGCCCCCTGTCCTGATGGTGGATTAGACAGTCTACTCTGCAATCTGTCCTGGATTCAGCTGGGCTTAGTGATCATTAATTGAGCTCCCATCTTGCAGAATCTACCCTCCCGGGGGCTGGGATTTCCAGCTTGAGAAACAGGGTGTTTGGTCTCCCCTGCCTGCATCCCCCCTTCAGTTTCTGCACAGTCTCGACTGGAGCAGCCCCCAGTCAGTATTGAAGAGTCAGTGGAAAGGTACAGGCTGTGCTCTGGCTAAGGTCACTCCTGGGGGACCTCGGTGTCATATGCCTGGTGCCATGGAGGGCAGAGAAGATGGGCATGTAGCCCAGCCCAGGGTTCCCGGAGGCCAGGGCAGTGCTGACCACACCTCCCTCATTTTCTCCAGGGAATTTGGGCAGTGGGAGGATACAGGAGTGCCGCTGCCCTTGGAGTGAGAGGAACCAGCCCTTGGTGATGGTGGGGGGACGGTGGTGGGAGTCTTTTCTGGAGAGCTGGAGGGCAAGGGGAGGCTGGTTACCTAGGAGCGGTCAGCAGGGCTGTGCAGGGCCGTTTTAATCGCTTGAGGCGCAAGCCTCAGCTTCTACATTGGACAAACACTATCTTGGTGACAGCCAGGCACTGGGCTGTTACCTTTATTTAGGAGAAGCGTTTACCTCTCAGGAGATTTGAGCTAGGAGGTGATTCTCGAGGCCACTCTGAGCCATGGCCTCGGGAGACACCTCCTTGACGCCATAGCCTGCCTGCCTCCATCACGTCTGTGGATGCAGACCAAGGAAAGCGCTAACTCTGCTATGTGTGGTAGCTGGCTCCGAGGACCACAGAGACCTGACCCAGGCCCTGAACCTCATCAAAGACATCATCTCACAAGTGGACGCCAGGGTCAGCGAGTACGAGAAGGGCCAGCGCCTCAGGGAAATCGCGGGAAAGATGGACCTCAAGTCCTCCAGCAAGCTCAAAAATGGGCTGACCTTCCGCAAGGAGGACATGCTACAGAGGCAGCTCCACCTGGAGGGCACCCTGTGCTGGAAGACCACCTCTGGGCGCCTGAAAGGTAAAGCCCTGCCCCAGCTGCTCCTGCTGGGCGCCATCATGGAGTGGTCAACTCCATCTTGGATCAGTGGCACCATCTTGGGTTGGTGGATATCATCCTGGGTTGATGGTACCATATTAGAGTAGTGGGTGTCACCTTGGATCAGTGGCACCATCTTGGAGTGGTGGGTGTCACCTTGGGAATGATGCGCACCATCTTGGATCAGTGGTACCATCTTGGAGTAGTGGGTGTCACCTTGGGAGTGGAGTGGTGGGCACCATCTTGGAGTGGTGGGTGCCATCTTGGATCAGTGTTACCACCTTGGAGTGGTGGATGTCATCTTCAAGTGGTGGGCACTATCTTGGCTCCGTGGCACCATTTTGAAGTGGTAGGTACCAGCTGACACAGCCACCACTTCACAGCTAAAGGGAGGTTACATACCAAGTCGGGACGAGCTCAGAATCAGAGCGGGAGCGAGGTGGAGGTGGCTGTAGGGGCGCCCTCTGTCTCCAGTGATGGAGACAGTATGGTGCACACAGCAAGGGCCACCAGGTGAAGGGGGCGCAGCGAGTCACCAACTCCTGAACAGAAACCCAGGATATCATGACTCCCTGATTCAGCATAGGCCTCAGAGTTCTAAACAACAGTAACAGGCCCCAGTGGGGGTAGAGGATGCGACCTGGGTGTGTCCGNCCGCCCCCCCGCTGCTTAGGGTGAGCTCCAAGCCCTCCTTTTGAGATCTGCTGTGCAGTTCCAAACCAGAGCTCGCTCAGGGCTCATCCCTGAGTATCTTGTCCTTTCCATGAGCCTCTGGAAACAACCATCACCTGTCCTTTGGCCTCAGCATCTTTTTAAAGATCTCTGGGGAAGTGTCACAGGTGGCCAGACAACAGGAAGTGTCTGTTCTCCATGTGAGCAGGTGAGCAGCGAGAAGATAGGGTTTACAGCTGAGACCCCCTCTGTGCCCAGCACCAAGGCAGGTGGCTGAGGCCCTACGCCCGTGGGGCTCAAGTCAGTGGGCAGACAGAGAGAAGTAAACAGGCAAGCAGTGGAAAGCTCAGTACGTGCTGCAGAGGAACCCCACAGGCTTCAGTGCAGGAGAATTCCGTGGGGAGGGTATCTAACTGGGGTGGGGAGTCCTGAGCAAGCTCCCCGAGGGGGCTGTGTTTTCACTTCCCACAGCGCTAGTGCCACTGTTGGAGACACAGCTTAGGATTCACACCCCTGTGTACCAGCTCTGCCGGGCAGTCACCTCACCATGTCCCCACAGGGACAGGGCTCCAAACCTGCCACCACCATGAAGCTCGGGCGCCTGGGGACGAGAGTATGGCTGCAGCAGGAGCCAGGATGTGAGGGTCCAGGGATTCACTGTTAAATGTTGAAGCCAGGAGCAGGGAGGGGGGGTCAGGTCAAAGCCGGGACACCCCCCAACACCAGGCTCCTGCAGAAGCATCATGGCACCGACTTAGTGCCACAGGGCCGAGGCCACCTGGGCTTCCGTCTGCCTGGTGGGATCCACACAGCCACGGGGACCCTGAAAGATGTCTCCTTTCACGCCCTCCCCTTAGACGTCCTCGCGGTCCTGTTGACAGACGTGCTTCTGCTGCTCCAGGAAAAGGATCAGAAGTACGTCTTTGCATCCGTGGTACGTGTCCTGTCCCTTCACTGCTTGAAACCTGCCTGCATGGAGGCGGCCGAGGGGCGGGAGCAACCAGGGGGCCACCTCAGTGCTGGGGCCGGGGGTGGCCCAAGAGCATGGGGCTAGAAGAGCACACCCATATGTTACCCTGTCGTCCAGCAAGACAGGAGTAGACTTTGCCAAAACCAGGGTCCCATGCAGTGGCCTGAGGGAGCCTCAGGGTCATGCCAGTGATGCCCGGTCACCCCTGAGGATGCGGCTCAGGCAGCCGTCATCCTGTGAGCTGTGGCTGTGTTGGCCCCATGGCCCACTGGTCCTCGAACAGCTGCACTGCAGGAGCTTCCCACTGGGGAGGACTCAGGGTCAGTCTAGGGTCCATCCACCCTACCTGGCCCTCATCCACCAGGGACTTGGCCTCCTCCTGTAGACTTTGCCAAAACCAGGGTCCCATGCAGTGGCCTGAGGGAGCCTCAGGGTCATGCCAGTGATGCCCGGTCACCCCTGAGGATGCAGCTCAGGCAGCCGTCATCCTGTGAGCTGTGGCTGTGTTGGCCCCATGGCCCACTGGTCCTCGAACAGCCGCACTGCAGGAGCTTCCCACTGGGGAGGACTCAGGGTCAGTCTAGGGTCCATCCACCCTACCTGGCCCTCATCCACCAGGGACTTGGCCTCCTCCCCCGCTCGCCTGGGTGACCCGTGGATACCCATGGCTGAGTCCCCCTGGAGAGGAAGGGGGACGTTATCACTCAATTCTGGAGTCTCGTCCCTTTCCCAGAGACTTAAACTGGCTTCTCAAGAAGTTTCCAGAAGTGGCTCACACTGTCATGCCCTTGAAAATGGTCTCACCCTGACCCCAGCAAGCCCCATGTGTGTCGTGGGGCCTACGAGGGTGACACCACGTCTGCTGCTCCTGTCTGTGCCTGGATCCTGATCACCACCTCTGCTCTCTGAGAGCAGTCCTGCTTGGGTCAGGGCCACCCCCTCAGCCCTCCCTGCAACTTAATCACCCCTTGAAGCACACGGGCCTTCCTGCCGCCCTGGCCGCTCCCTCGGCCGTGCTGCTGCTCACTCAGTCCTGTCTGACTCTGCAGCCCCCTGGGCTGCAGCCGGTCTCCATATACCATCATGTTTTCTGAGGTTAGGACCTCAGCACATGGATTTAGCTAGGGTCAGTGGCGCTGGAGACCAATTCAACCCATATCAGCCAGTTAAAAAGCGTGCCTTTTACTGGTCGGTCAGAGCACTGCCTCTTGGGGGACGCCCAGAGATTGGGAATACTGCTTGGCTCTGGTTGTTTGGGACACAAGTTTGGGAGGAAGATGTGTTTATTACCATAGACCACCAGCTCTTGTATTGCTGAGTTTTGTACAGCGTACATGCATTAGCGATCATAAAACATCTTTTAAGCACATTGAACAGACACATGAAAAAGGATGTGAGGATATCATCACCATAGTGCCTTTTTCCCCCTAGATGGCAAAACCTTTCTGCCTTGAATTAGAGGATAAGCGGGGTGCACGCCCCCACCCCCCACCCCTGNCATCCTCCCAACCCAGGGATCGAACCCCCATCTCCCGCATTGGCAGGCAGGTTCTTTACCACTGAGCCACCAGGGAAGCCCTTGGCTTCGGCGGCTGGCAAGTCGGCAGAGGCCTAGAAGTGCCTGTGAGGGTGCTGGGGTCACAGGCAGGCGGGAGACCTCTGGGCTCCTCCGCTCCCCCTCACTCCACCTCAGCGCTCTGTCGTCCCCTCGTCTGAGGGCAGACAGACAGCACCATTGGGCTCCTTCTGACGTGACTGACAGTGCGCGTCTCTGGGACAGGGTTGCGGGGCTGGCAGCTCTAATCTTCTGTACTGGTGGGCTGTCCCCCTCCCCTCCATGTGATGCCTGGCTCATGGTCCACAGATGGGGATGGGGGTCCGGTCCCCACTCCCAGCCTGCTCCCTCTCTACACGCAGAAGCTTCCCTTAGTCTGCTCAGCCTCCCCTCAGTACTCAGCTTCAGCTTTGCTGGGCTGGCATCCTCCCATACCTGGGAGGTCCCCAGGGAATGAATTGCCCCAAGTAGTGTCCAGGTATTTAAAACCTACGGCCGGTTGTTTCCCAACACTTGGAGACTGGATGCGTGCTAATGGCTGTGTCTCCCCTTCAAGGTTGACCATTAACGCTACATCTCTTAGCACATCAGAGATGCTTTTTGCAGTGGCTTCTCCAGGCAGACCTCTGCCAGCTCAGAGGCAGCCAGTCCCTGGGGTGCGCTCACCCATCCGCCCCCTCTCCCTGCAGCTGCCCAGACGAGGAGGAAGGCCCCTTCAGCGAGGCCGAAGAGGAGAAGGCCCGTGCTGTGAGGCTGAGGGACTTTCAAGGTGAGGAGGGAGGGGGTCAGTCCGACCTCCGCACCCACGACGCAGCCCTCGCCCAGTGACACGGCCCCGGAGCCCTCCTGGGCCCAGGGTGGCCCTTCCCTTCTGTCCCATGCGGGCTGGCCATGGAGCAGATCCCTGCCCACACAACCAGGACTTGAACTGTGGGATGGCCTGTGCCCTAGGGCAGTGATCTTCCACGGAGCATGTGGGAAAGGGATGGGGGCGACTCTGGGACTCCTCCTGGGGTCCTCACTCAGGAAAGGACTCGACATGGTATCCCACGTCAAGTGCGCCAGACCCTCCGGGTCCCTGTGAGAGCTGGGACTCCCACAGCCTCCTCCTGAAGTCGAGTGGACTCAGGCCATCCTGGTTTTGCAGCCAGTCACACCGGCTTCCTCTTCCACCTGGATATTTTTTTAGCTATGTTATCGAACTGTATTTCACATACCATACAGGTCACCCATTCACAACATGCCATGCAGTGGCCTTTAGTCTATATCAGAAGGTGGTGCAACTGTCCTGACAGTTTCAGGCTATTTTCATCACCCCAGAAAGAAACCCCATCCCCATTAGCCATCACTCCCATTCTTTCTCCACCTCTAGACCCTGGGAACCTCTGTCCTACTGTCTGCTGTGAATTTAGCTATTCCAGACACCTCGTATCAATGGGGACATTTGTCCCTTTGTGACGGGTTTATCTCACTGCATGTTTTCAAGGTTCATCTGTGCAACAGACTCTTTCCTTTTTTAAAGCTGAATAATATTCCATCTTATAGCTGGACCACATCATTCTTATTCTCCTCCCCAGTTTTCACAGCTTCCTGTGCGATTCAGCAAGGTCATTGCCAAGAATAAGTCCACGTACTTCGTGATCTCAGTCAATCCCCTCTTCTCCCTTGCTTACACAGTCTTTATATTCGACTTAGATAACATTGAAGTAGTAAGCACCTAAAATTAGGTAGTGCATATTTTATTTCTCTGTGTGGGGAAAGGTGCACGTTTGAGGGTATTCAGGAATAAAATTATTCAAAAGAAAGGGGAAATCCCCTTGACCCCGAAAGTATCATGCTAACATAGTGCTCATTTCATCCCGTCCTCACTCTTGTATTCCTGCCGAAGGGTAATAAAGTACAGGCCTTGCCCAGACACATCTCCACAGACACTTCAGAGTCATCCAGGAATGTCTCATTGTCACCCATTCCTGACAAGAGTCATGGTGAATTAGAAATAGCTCTTCTTCACTGAGCTCTTCTTTCCCATCTTGGACCAAAAGCCAATCTCATCCTTCACACCGGAAGGTCAAGGACCCTCCCATCAAAGCTAGGATCGAGATGGCCCCCACCGCCACCATCACCACCATTAGTATCTCCACCCTGGACTTTCCAACCAGGGTAATAATGGGAAGACTCAGAAGTAAGAGATCACAGTTGCAGGAATTCCCTTGTGGTCCAGTGGTTAGGACTCCACACTTCCACTGCCAAAGGCACAGGTTCAATCCTTGGTCGGGGAACTAAGCTTCCACAAGCCATTCTGCACAGCCAAAAAGAAAATGGGAAAAAAAAAAATCACAACTGGAAGGGAGGTGGCAGAATTATTTTTTGCAGGTGACAGGATTACCTGCCTAGGAAATCCGATAGAATCAACTGGAAAACTATTGGAAATGGTAAGAGAGCTCAATAATTTAGCTAAATAGGATGTATATATATATTTATACTAGCAGTCACCAGTGAGAAAGTCTAGTAAAATAAGTCATAGTCACAGCAGCTGAAAAAACTATAGGGACTTCCCTAGTGGTTCAGTAGTTAGGACTCCACGCTTCCGTTGCAGGGGACTCAGGTTGATATCCTTGGTCAGGGAACTAAGGTCCCGCATGCTGTGAAATGTGGCCAGAAATAAAAATTTAAAAAGTATAAAACCCAGAGACTTGTAAGAAGGCTTTCAAGATTAGAAAACTAAGTTTTTAAAGGCTCTCGGTTTGTCCCAAACTAATAAATTTAGTCTGCTGTGGCCCTCCCCCACACTCCCACCACGTTTGATCTTTTTCTAATGGAGGAAAGCAAGCAAAAGACAGGGCCACACCCCTGCCTACCTCTTGGGAATTCTGGATGCAGGGAGTGGTCCAGGACAGGAGAGGGTCAGCGGGAACGCCGGAGGCCCGCCTGGCCCAGCAAGGCATCATGACAGCCGGCTCCAGGGGGGAAACCACCCCAGAGGAGGCTGACCACCGCCTCATGGCTGCTTTGCAGAACGACTGAACAGGAAAGACCAGCAGATCGCCCAGAGCCTGAGTGAGAAGCAGCAGATCTACCTGGAGATGGCCGAGATGAGCGGGCTCGAGGACCTCGCCTTGTCTCGGCTCCTCTTCCGGGGAGGAGACCCCCCCGAGAACCTGCAGGGCGAGCTGATTCTCAAGTCAGCCATGAGTGAGAGTGAGTAGCCACCAGCCCACCCCTGCAGCCCACCCCCATCCTTCGTGGGGTCTCCCGGGCACCCCAGGCCGGACACACAGCCCCATGTGGCCTACAAGCCACCCCATCCCCACGTGCTTCTGTCCGCTTCTGTTCTGTTAGAGCTGGAAGGTCTCTGGACAGTCGGGTGCCAGCCCCTCGCTGCAGACTCAAAGCACCATCTCACATTCACTCAGTAAACACTCCCAGTGCCCACTGCGCTCCAGGCCCCGTGCTGGGCACGGAGGATCTCAAAGTGACTGAGATGGTTCCTCTTCTTTCTGATGAGTGGATCACTGATGCTCTCCCCAGAAAAAGGCACACATACAAGTTTGGTGGGTCATTTTAGGGGCTCCTAGTCCCGTAGCCGAGGGATGGTGCTAGCCGATAAGCAGCCTGCTTCCTGGAGCCATCAAGGCCCTTGTGGAGCATCTTCACATGCGGCTTCTGAGTCCTGTGCCAGGCCAGGGGGTTTGCTGGGCAGGATGGCCAGTGCTTGTTCAATCTGACAGCACAGCCAGGGCTCTTCTTTCATTAGCCGGCAAGACAGACACAGCCCTGCCCTCCAGAACTTTCCATCAGAGTGAAGAGAACAGGCAGGAAGGGTCCCATGTGGACTCTCAGTCTTGCTCCCTCCAGCCAAGCCGACATCTCCCATGTCTCTAGTCACCACTGTTCCTGGGCCCTGAGACCCCCTCATGCCTCGTGCCTCAGCCTAGGATATTCTCCCCACCTCCTCACCTGGCCAGTCTCTGTGTCCTCAAGCACCTTGTGTGACCACCCCTGTCCCCTCCCCTTGAGGCCACCTCCCGTGTCTCCTGACCATCTGTGTGACCGTCAGCACACAGGTAGTGGCCATGCTGAGTTCCCTCCCCAGCCCAGGGCTCCCCACCTCGCACCCTATGGTCCCCTGAGATCCCACCTCTCCTGTAGATTGGCATGTCCTAGGTGCAACACCTACGCGGGGGGTGCACAGGCTAGGGGGGTAACCGACACCCTGTGAGGCCTCTGCCTGGGTCCCTGAACTCAGCTCTGAATGCCAGGGCGGAGCCATAGGGTGACTCGGCGCCCCTCCGTCCCCTTCCTTCCGCAGTTGAGGACATCCAGAGTTTCATCTGCAGGCGGCTGGGCAACGCCTACGGCCAGGCAGAAGACAGGGGCAGTGCGGGCAGCCCAGGCAAGGGTAAATGGTGCTGCCACCTTCTGGGGACCCTGGAGCTGGGCGACTATGGGAGGGCATGCCTTTCCACGGCATCTGGGCATTTGCTCTTCAGCATCTCTCTGCTGCTTCCCTCAACCTTCTATAAACACCAGGGTCAGCTTTCTGGAACTTGCTGGTGCTTGTCAATCATGTTCTGGCAGCAGCACCCAGGCCAGTTCCTGCTGCTGGTTTCTGCGGCCCAAGTTCCCTGCCTGGCCAGAGGATAGGGTAGGGCCGGGAGCAGGGCAGGTGGGATCCGCGGCATCTCTCATGCCTGGCTTGGGGTTTCAGACGGCAGTCTTCAGAAGAACATGTGCAGCAGTGACCTCAGCCCCCGAGACTGGCAGGCCCTGGTGAGCAGCCTGGACTCGAAGCCTGGAGACACCCAAGGGGCCCCTGAGGAAGCCTCGAAGGTAGTGCGTTGCCTCCTTGGGATGTGTCTGAGCTCAGTACAGGGTCGTCGGCCCGTGGCCCTGTAATTACCCTGAGGCCGAACAGCCTGTGCTTGGTTTGTCTGGGGCAAACAGCAGCCAGTGCTACCCCGCTAATAGTTAATGTGCAAATGGACATGCGGGTTCCTCCTGCAGCTCCCAGGAAGGGCGGGGTGCGAGGCGCACAGGAGGGAGGCGGGGGAGGGGACTGGCTCGGGGCATGGCCTCATCAATAGGTGAGAGCAACTAGGCGGGGATCTACACAGGTGTCCACCTTCCACGGATGTGACGTCACTGGCTGTTCCCTCTATGGCTCCTAAGGCCCACCCTTGCCAGGCACTGGGCTCAGAGCCCCAGCACTGGGCTCCTCAGAGCCTCGCACATGATGGGCCCACACCCCCGCACCCTCCTACCTCCCAGGAACCACACTTTGCCAATTCTCCAGACACCAAGGCTGACACAAGTCAGATGAGCGGTGGGTGGGCTGGTCCCATGCTAAGGGGATGTCTTATCAATAATAAGTGGGTCCCACTCAAATCAGATTGGTCTTTAAAAGCTCTCTGCATTGATGCTGTCTCCCCAGGCAGAGTCACCAGGTACAGAGCCCGGCCCCGCGCCACCTGCGGTCCTGGAGTTGGAGGTAAGTGAAGGCTTGTGTGTCCACGTCCCCACACCCACTCCCTGGGACCCAGCGGGGCTTCCTGCAGCGCCCAGTGGCCCTGTCCCTCTCTCCGCAGCTCGTCCAGCGGATCCAGACGCTGTCCCAGCTGCTCCTCAGCCTCCAGGTACAGGGCCTTTGGGGAGCGCAGCGGGCCACATGTGCCCTCCTCCTTCAGGTTGAGGCTGGGGTCTGGGGGACAGCTGGGCTCTTCCTAAAGCCGGCCCTCCCCTCCCCTCCCCTCTCCCAGGTGGTCATCACCCAGCAGGACAGCTACGTGGAGATTCAGAAAGCAGCCATCCAGGAGCGTGAGAAGCAGTTCCGGCTGCAGTCGACGCGCGGGAACCTGCTGCTGGAGCAGGAGCGGCAGCGCAACTTCGAGAAACAGCGGGAGGAGCTGGCGGGCGTGCAGAAGCTGCAGGGCCAGCTGCGGCTGGAGCAGCAGCGCTGGGAGCGCGAGCGGGAGCAGCAGCGCCGGGAGCTGGACCAGGCGTCCACGCGGCTGCAGCAGCGTGAGAGTGAGTTGCTGCAGCTGCAGGAGCGGCTGAACCAGGAGCGCGAGGAGCTGGAGCGCCAGCGCCAGGCCTACCAGCACGACCTGGAGCGGCTGCGCGAGGCCCAGCGGGCCGTGGAGCGCGAGCGCGAGCGCCTGGAGGTGCTGCGCCGGCTCAAGAAGCAGAACACAGCGCCCGGGGCGCTGCCGCCGGAGACACTGGTGGAGGTGAGCGCCGGCCTAAGGTGCCTGTGCCAGAGAGCCTGAGTGTGCGCGTGCGTGGGTGGGTGCGCGTGCCTGCGTTTTCGGGACAAGGGAGCAATGTTGATTCCATCAGGCCTGCACCAGGCTCTATGCCCAGATGGGACCCTCTGAGCTAAGACGCTTCAGTTAAGCCACACCTGGCCTGGGAGGTGGGCGGGCATGCCAGGTCCATCCAGCCTCCATAGGCCCAGCGGGCCGTGGAGCGCGAGCGCGAGCGCCTGGAGGTGCTGCGCCGGCTCAAGAAGCAGAACACAGCGCCCGGGGCGCTGCCGCCGGAGGCACTGGTGGAGGTGAGCGCCGGCCTAAGGTGCCTGTGCCAGAGAGCCTGAGTGTGCACGTGCGTGGGTGGGTGCGCGTGCCTGCGTTTTCGGGACAAGGGAGGAATGTTGATTCCATCAGGCCTGCACCAGGCTCTATGCCCAGATGGGACCCTCTGAGCTAAGACGCTTCAGTTAAGCCACACCTGGCCTGGCAGGTGGGCGGGCATGCCAGGTCCATCCAGCCTCCAAAAACCCCACCCCCACCCTGGAGCCTGCAAAGTGTGGGCGGGGCTGGTGCATGGTACCATGCTGATCCGAGGGGCGCAGCCTCTCCTTGGTACCCCAAGAAGGGCTTCCAGCAGGAACAGCGACGTTGAGACGTGTCTTCTGTGGCTTTTTCAGACCCAGCCTCTAAGCCACGCTCCCAGCTTCAATGGGAACGGGCTGGAAGGATCCATGGCCCTGACCAAAGCACCGGGGCCCCGACCCAACTCGGTGGTGTCCAGTGCGGGGTCTGAGTACGCCGAGCGCCCCGAGGTGGCCCGCAGGGACAGCGCCCCGGCCGAGAGTCGCCCGGCCAAGAGCGACGTGCCCATCCAGCTGCTGAGCGCCACCAACCAGATCCAGAGGCAGGCAGCTGTGCAACAGCAGATCCCCACCAAGTTGGCGGCCTCCACCAAAGGCGGGAAGGACAAGGGAGGCAGGAGCCGGGGCTCCCAGCGCCGGGACAGCTCAGGTGAGCGGGGACTTCCTGGCACCCCCCTGCCCTCCCCTCGCCTGGTGCCCACCTGGCCCCTTACCTCTGGCCCAGACACCAGCAGGAAACCCCAGCTGGTGGTGGAACTGAGGCCTGCCTGCACACACAGACACACACACAACCTCCTCGCCACCCCCAGAGACTTCAGAACTCAGTTCCTGTTCCCACCTCAGCCCTCACACTGGGATCAGACACAAGGGAGCACCTTGGTGATTCAGAAACGGGCCTCGGAAACCCTTGTGCAGGGGCGGGAAGTCCGCCAGTGACTGACGCTACTACTCCCCACTGAGTCCTTGCCCCCGAGCCAGTGTTCCCCAGTAGGAAGGCCCTGGGACCCTCCTGGGGAACAGGGCCCGGGTCCCAGGACCCCTGGGCTGCAGTATCACAGGGCCTCTTGTCCTGATTGAATGGGTGCAGGGGCCCCCTCTGGTTCGCCAGGGGTGTCTGCTCTGGGTTTTGTTGGTGAACTGGGGCCTGCTGTCTGAGCAGCGTCCCTCCCTGGGAACCAGCACTGGAGGAAGTGTGGGCAAGGAGTGCGAGGCCCTGGGCCGAGGTCTGGGGGCTCCGGCACTGAAGCGAGACTGCAAACCCCAGTATCTTCCACCCTCTTTCAGCCTCGTTTGACCTGAGGCAGCCGCTGCTTCTCAACAAGCTCATGGGCAAAGAAGAGAACACCTCTCGGAACCGCCGCTCACTGAGTCCCGTCCTGCCCAGCTCCACGCCCCCCCAAGGTGAGCCAGCCCGCCCAGCCCGCTACCCCCTGGCACCCAGAGTGCCTGGCTGATGCTGACACCCACCACCCTGTCTCTCTTCCAGACCCCAGCCTCCCAGCCCCGACCCCAGGCCCAGCCGACGTCCCCACTGACAACCTCCCCCTCAAGGCCCGAGGGTCATCCTTCCAACCCGGGGCTCCATCCTCCACACCACTCGACAAGGAAGAAACCGGCAAGGAAGACGTCATCTTCTTCTAGGGGGCATGGCTCGGGGTGCACTGCCCACTCTTCATGCTCTGTGGCCCCACCCCACCCCCAGGCCCACCCTTTCACCTTCCCAAGCAGGCCTCCTCTGACATCTGCCAGGATGGGGCAGGTAGGGCTGGCCTGCTGTCTTGAGGCTGCTCACTCTGAAGGATTAGCAGTGGTGCCTGGGCAACTTTGTAAACCTTTTTTTTAACATGAAAAGGAAAGTTTGTAATGGAAGGTTGAAGCAAAGCTAACCCACGGAGCTGCCATCTGCCTCATAGCGCCCCATTCCAGCAGAGGAGAGTCCCACTCCGCGCTGTCTTTCCAAGGTAGTGACCAGGGCCACCAGGAGATCCTGGAGCGAGCCACAGTGACACCAGCAGGGGCCCGGTGGGGTTGGCTCTGTCCACAGAATCAGGCCGAATTGACTTCTAAAGCAGAGACCTCAGTGGGTTCATGGTGAACTTCTAGGCCAGGATGTGAGCCCACCCAGGGGTGGCCCACGGTTCACCCAGGACAGAGGGCCACAGGGCAGGCAGGGTGGCGGAAGGGGTTGGCCGATGGCATGCCCGGTATGTCCTGTAGGTTCGGAAGCTCGTCCTCAAAGGGGCTGACCGGGAGGGGACAGACCACAGCTCATTTTAATCTGGTGGAGGTTTTTAAAACCCACTCTTGTCGAAGTTGGTGCTTTCCCAAAGCGCCTCTCAGACTCAACGCCTGGCAAGCCAAGCCCAGGGCTTCCACCAGGGCTGGCGCATGCCTGAGGGTCCCGGCCCCGGGTAGAGAGTCCTTCCCCATGAGGTGGCCCCCAGCTGGCATCCCCAATGGATGGGCAGATACTGGGGTGACACAGAGCAGTGGGAGCAGAGCTCGGAAGGGACCAGTGTGGCCTGGGCGATTACTGCTGCCAGCGAGTGCACAGACCGCCGCTTCAGGCACCTCACATTGCGTGAGCGTCGCAGGTTGTCATCAGCTCCCCCAGAGGAGGGCAAGGACCACCAGTGTAGCCTCTTGGTGCAGCCGCAGGTGTTGGGTGGTGCCACGCATCCACACCACAGCAGTCCTGGAGTGACAGTGGGTCACACCCACATTCCAGCTCTGGCCAGGTGCAGGCTCGGGGCCAGGGAGCATTCCAGCCTTCTCCTGCACGCCAGACTCCCCTGCAGAAGCCAGTATCCCGCCAAGTACTGGTGGGAAGACAGGGTCTGGGGCGGAGCAGGAGCCTGGGCACCACGGCCCGCGGTGACAAGGTACTGACACAGCCCTGGAGCTCTCCAGAGGAGCAGCAGCCCCCGTCCCCCGGGACATGTCCAATCACCCATCCCACATCTGTAATCACTGTGTTTGGTCCTGAGACACATCGGAGCACTTTAGAAAAGCTGACTTTACATTCCTGTCCTGTCCTGAAGAGGACATTCCTGGGCCACGTGCCCCCACGCACGGGATCCTCTCTCACCCACCCAGGGGATTCCTGCAAGGATAAGTTCAAGGCCACGTGGTGGGAATCGGCCAAGGAGGCTTCCAGGTGGTGCCTGAAGCAGGGCAGCACCATGGGCCCATCCCACCAGGACCCTGAGGTCACTCCCGGGTACAGCCCAGTCTCGTTTGTAAAGTTAGGAGTTGAGCAAACATTCCTACTTTCGTGGGGTCTGTGCACATCTTCGTTAATTGTGACCATGACCTTAGTCAACCTGACGATCATTTTTTACAAAGAAAGCAGCATTTCCTCACTGGGGGTTGTCTGAACCACTCTAGAACTTAAGACCTGACTCTAGCAATAAACGTGTCTAAAGGGAGCTGACTGGAGTCACTTTCTTTGGGGTTTTGTTTTAGGATAACCTGCCTAAACTTCAGTGCTGCAGGCTGCATGGCCAGCGGCAGGGGCACTCAGACCCTCTGTTTTGCTAGGAACTTGGGGAGCCCTGGACACCAGGCCCAAGGCCTTCTTGATGACCAGGCTGTGATTCTCCACCTCTCCTGGGAGGGGAGAGTGTAGGGAGGCAGGGACATGTCCCAGGCCAGTGACAGCCCTCACCCCCACCCACACTTGGCATCAGCTCAGACTAGTGACAGGATGGACCGCACAGACAACCCCGGCCAGGCAGCTTGCTTTGGTGCCTGTGAGGAAGCCCCAGACAGCGATTCCACCTGGACAGTCAAGGCTGGGGGCAATGGCACTGCTGAGGTGGCTGCGGGGGTACCCCAGCCTCGTGCACTGGCTGGGTCCCTACCCATTTAGGCTGCCCCCCCCCCATGGTCCAGAGCTGTCAGCCTCCTCGATGAGGGGGGACCCTACTGGCTTCTGGACCTGTCAGTCTCCCTCCTCAAAGGAGCCTAATTTGCCATACACATGCTCCCCCACATCCCACGAAAAAGCTGTAGATCCCCCTGGGGCTTGGTCCCCTGGAATCGTCACCTTACTGCACCCCAACCTATAACTGAGCTGCCAGCCCAGGGAAGGGCACTGGGCAGGGGGCGCAGACACACGACTGGCAGTGCCCGCAGCCTTATCCCAGCCCTGCTGCCCAGGCCCTCGGGGATGCCAGCCCCTGGGGTACCTGTGACCTGCCGTATCACACAGGCAGGTGTTCTCGTGGTTCCCTGGCAAGCACGCTGCCTTGCAGGTGTTAACTCAGTCGGACAGGCAGGTGCCACTCACCCCACCCTAATCTCCCAGGTCACCTGGGCGCCTGGAAGGCAGAGCAAGAGGGAAGGGGGAGACTGACCTGGCCCAGCCTCCTAACCCAGAGGGAGCCCCCCAGATGGACAGGGCAGGGGCTCAGCTGGAGGCCCGGTGGGGTCCTTGTGTCCTGTGAGACCCTGAGCGGCCCCACACCCCAGCTATTCCCCACCACATACCTTCTTTGTGAAAGAAAACATGGTTGAAACCACAGGCTTCAGGGCCTGTAAACATGACCATTCATTGCTCTTCCAGGGGCCAGTGAGTGAGGGGCAGGCGTGGGCCACCCGCCACCTGCCAACATCACCTGAGGCCACACACGCACGTGGCCTTTGTTCCCCAGACTGGAAACAAACTGGTCCCTTCTTGCCCGCCATGCTTTCACAAGCTGGGAGCCCCAGGCATCTCCAGTGATGATGCTCAGAGCCCTCGAAATGCTCAGACCGGTCCTGAATGGACCACGGCAGCCCCGAGTCCATGCTGTGGCTGTGAGATGCTTCAGCCACGACAGGCACCCCACAATGCCTGGGAGCTTGAGACCCGGGCAGGGCCTGGCAAAGAAGGCAGCATCCACAGCCAGCCAAGGGTGCCCAAGCTCGCGGGCTAGGGAGAAAGGACCAGCCTCTGTGGCTGAGCCTCTCGGGGTCAACAGGCTGTGTTTGCAGCATCGGAGGGGAAGGTGGGCCAGGAGTTGGTGCTTCCTGCTGCAGCTCCAGCCCACAGGAGGCTGAACCCTGGCCCAGGGGGAGTTGGTGGGGGAACCTGTGCGCCCTCCTAGAAATAAGGCCCAGGGGGTGCCCCCGACCACTGGAGAAAGTGGGCGTGAGAATGAGCAGACAGAGACGGGGCTTAGGAATTCGCTCACACCTGGCCTGACACCATCACCACCTCATTTAATTGATCCTCACTTCACATTCCTCAGGCCCAACCTGGCTGCCCTGCTTGCCTTTATTGCACACAGGACTCTGGCCTGCCGGGGGCCAGTTCCTCTGCAAGCGAGTCTTCGGGGTCTTCCTGCTCCATCCCTACTGAGGCGGCACCTGGGGGACCTCGGCCCCCTAGGCCCACCCCTCTGGGGGCTGGTACCCCAGATTGCTCTGGTGTGTCTTCTAGCCACACCTCCCTCCCGGCACCTGGCCGTGATCTGCTGGATTAGAGACCCGCCCCTCCCAGGCAATCACGCTTCATGGGAAGGGTCCTGCTGGGGTTCTGGCCCCCCTATCCCTTAGGGGGTGGCGCTGGCCTGGCGGCCTGCCTGGACTGCCTGGTACACGCTGAGGAGGGAGGACAGGGTGCCCAGGAGGCCCACCAGCCACTGGGGGGAGCGGCCGGCCCACAGGACACCCGGGGGCAGCCAGTGCACTGCGTTGGCCAGGTCTGCCAGGTTGCTCAGGAGGGTCAGTACCTCCGAGCAGATCTGGGTCTCCAGGGTCCTCCGCTTGCCCCGGGCCAGCCGGCTGTGGAAGCAAAGGGTGGGGGAGGGGCGCTCAGGGAAGGCCCCTCGTCCCCCGCTCGCCCCCACTCCCCCACTCCCTGCAGGGACAGGGCAAGGAGTGCTGGGGAGGGCGGAGGACCAGCAGGCTGCATCCGTCACATCCACCAGAGGGAGCCCACAGTGGGAACCAGAGTCTCAGGTCCACAGGCGGGGGGAGGGGGGAAGGGGAGGGGTGAGCAGCTTCCGGGCCTGTGCTGGGCACCTGCTCTACCCAGCATTCTTTCCCAGGATGAGACAGTGACTGAACTTGGTCCTCAGGACACTGACTCCACCTCTGATCATCCTCCTAGACCCAGCGCCAGCCGTGAAGGCTCAGCCCTGGAGTCCCAGCTCTGCCACTTCCTGCCTAGGGGCCCCCAGCTAGCCTCAGTTTCCCCATCTGTAAAAGGGCTCCCATCTCCGGGGGGGGGCCGCAGCGATGCCCTGGTACCCAGCACACATCAGGCCCCCAGCCCCACCCAGCAGAGCCTGCATGCATGGGGCAGGGCAGTGACTTTGGGCACCTCCTTGGCTGGGCAGACCCATCGGGGACCCCGGCTTGCCAGAAGAAGTCTTCTAGGGGAACCCTGGACGACGTACCTGGTGAAGGCTTCCGGGGGCTTCCTCAGCCTCTGTCTCAGCTTCAGGACCATCCACAGAGACCTACAACACCACACAGGCTGGGGTGGGAGCAGCTGGGTGGGGGGTCACCAAGTAAATGGGGTCCGGATGGGTGCAAAGCCTGTCCACTCCCCCCCTACCCACACACACCCTGGACACTGGCTGGGCCTGTCTGAAGGGAGTCTAGACAACCTTCGAGGTCCCCAGGGCTGGATCTGTAGGCTGGAGAAGCAGCCACCAGATGGGCGTCCAGTGCTCCCTCCAGCCTTTGTTCCCTGCAGTCTGGGCAGGTGACTCTCTGGCACCCCCGGGTCTTAGGGACCCCGGTCATGATGTTGTTCAGTCACTCAGTCATGTCCGACTCTTTGTGACCCCACGGACTGCAGCACACCCGGCTTTTCTGTCCTTCAACAGCTTCTGGAGTTTGCTCAAACTTGTGTCCGTTGAGTCATGATGAGCACACACCAAATGCTCCCCAGCCACCATACCCTTGCTCACACCAAATACAGAGAAACGATGGGAAAACTAGCTGCTGTAAAATGAATGGAGGACTTTCCTGGTGGCCCAGTGGTTAAGACTCTGCATGCCAATGCGGGGGACTCGGGTTCAATCCCTGTTCTGGGAAGATTCCACATGCTGAGGGGCAGCCCAGCCAGTGAGCCAACTACTGAGCCCGCATGCTGCCACTACTGAAGCCTTTATAGCACCTAAAGCCCCTTCTCCACAAGAGAAGCCGCTGCAGTGAGAGGCCCGACCGCTGCAGCTAGAGAGTAGCCCCCGCACAGCAACGAAGACCCAGAGCAGCCATAAATAAATGAAATTTTAAATAGATAAAAAGCAGCCTAAAAGGTATTTAATACAAAATAATATGAATGGAAGAACAGGCAGAGCATATTCACCCTAAAAATAGGACTTTTAGGGCAGTGAAAATACTTCAGTGGTGGATACATGTTATCATACGTTTGTCCAAACTCGAAGCCCAACACAGAGCGTGAACTCTGCTCTAAACCATGGACGTGGGGCAATTAGGCAGCGTCAACGTCAGTTCATCGACTAACAAATGTTGGGGTGTGGTGCCGTGTGGATGGTGGGGAAGTCTGCGTGTGTGCCGGGTACATGGGAAAACTCGGCTTCCAGTTCAGTTTTGCTGTGAACCTAAAACCGCTCTAAAAAAATAGTCTATTTAAAAGAAAAAAATTAAGGGAAACAAGGCAGCCCTGAAAGCAGGAACGGGAAGTCTCTTGGGGCCGCAGGTCACGGGGCAGCCTCAGAAGAGGCTGTGGCCTCAAAGGCACCCGGAGACCAGCCTGGGCACCCTGAACTCACAGGGTGGGGGCGCTGGGGGCAATGCTGAAAGACAGGGCCAGCTCCATAACAGAAAGACAGGACCAGCTCCATAACAGCCGCCGAGACTGTGAGGGGAGCCGTGTCCCTGGACCAGGAGAGCAAAGACAAGTGAAGACGCGTCAGCACGGTGTCCGAAAGAAAGGCTGCTGGGGCTGACATGTGTGCACTGCCGCTGTTTGGCCGCTCAGTTGTGTCCGACTCTGTGACCCCATGGACTGCAGCCCGCCAGGCTCCTCTGTCCATGGGATTCTCCAGGCAAGAATACTGGAGTGGGTAACCATTCTCTCCTCCACGGGATCTTCCCGACCCAGGGGTCAAACCCGCATCTCCTTGGCAGGTGGATCCTTTACCACTGAGCCACCTGGGAAGCCCACTGCTATGTATAAAGTAGATAATTAACGAGAACCTACTGTATAGCTCAGGAACTCGGTGCTCTGTGGTAGCCTAAATGGGAAGGAAATCCAAAACAGAGGGGGTCCAGGTATACATACAGCTGATTCACTTTGCGATACAGCAGACACTAACACAACATTTTAAAGCAACTAAACTCAAAAAGAAAAAAGTTTTTGTTTTTTTTTTTTAAATCAAAGACTGGAAAAAATCACCAAAGTATAAAGAGAGAGGATCTTTGGGTTGGATACTAGGCGACTTGAATCTTCTATTTTGGGGTCTGC